GTGCCACTCAGGCTCATGCGAAAAGAAATGGTTCACTCTGGCGAGCTGCGCAGGAAGGTTGCTGCAAGGCTCTGGCATCCCTGTCTGCCACCCGCTGCTCAGAGGTCTCACAGAGGTAGCTGGAAACTTGTTCCCTGTCATGGATCATGCACCTCTAACCAGCGCATGGAAGCTCGCCTGATGAGGCGATGTGATACAGCATCCTTCAGAGAGTTCAGCTGTGCCCCATGCTGCAAAGACTGCACTTGCCAGAGAATGGGCAGGGGAGTTTCTGCAGAATGTCAGTTCATTCTGTGTTGAGGCAAAGGCTCCTGGCAGGTTGTGGAGTGATAGAACAGAACAGTAAAAAAAAAAGGACAGACCATATCATTTATTGGAAGGAAGTGCTCTGGGATACCGAAGTGTTTACACAGTGAGGGAAGATCCATCACTCCCTCAGGATCTCAGGTACAAGGAATTTTTCAGCAGTAAGATTTTATTTTCACTCGGGGGTAGGAAGCGCAAGCTAATACTGCAAAGGTGTCCAAGTGCCTCAGTTTCACCGAGTCCAGTGGTACTTGGAGAACTAAATAGCTCTGAGACCCTGCACCTCTGCCCTGCTTGTGTTTGGAAAAGAGCCAATTACCCTAAACACCGTACTTTTACAAGTACTGGAGGTAATAGCTGATGCTTTTAAATCCTTAGGACAACTAACAACTGCAGGACTCCTAGAGTCAATAGGGAAAGGTGGGGCATTTTGCTTTTTGAACATGGGGAAGAGTCACAGTCATTCCTCATCAGGTATTTTCCTCCTGCACGAACTGAAATTTTGGGTCTAGGATGCCTGAGGCTGGGGACCCTTATTCCCTTAGATATGTAATGTAGCGTTAGTACAACTGAGAATCAGACCACTGAATTGCTGAAAAGATGAGTACAGGAATTCAGCAGACCTACACACTGCCATGATTCTTAGGAGAGGGAAATGACAGCCCCCTAAAGCAAAATGCAATATTCATCCAGACACAGTACAGCCACCAAGAGAAATACATGCACAGCATCCTGCCTTGAATCTGACTCCCAGGTGACATGGCAGCCAGCAGGTCCTTTGGCTTTTCTGCTGATGCTGCTACCAACATCTGCAGTGATGCCTCAAGAGGTCAGCACTGTAACATCAGTAGGAAGCTCTTTTTCAAGCCACTAAGCATATGTTTCTGAACAGAACATCCTAGGAAGCCAATTGCCCAAGAAAATTACCAAGTTGGAAGGCCATTTTCCCTAGAGCAGCAAGCAAAATCAGCCTCCCATCTCAGTAGCTGGCATGTTACAGAAACATGTCCTCTGGGGCTGCTAGGGCAGTGCCATTCTCCAGCTCACTAGTCAAATCAAACGCAACCAGATAGAGACATTAGTTCCTTGACCTCTTACTTAATCATCATTACCTACATCAGTTTGTCTGAGCCATCTAACCTTTCCTGCCTCCCCTACAAAGCCATCCCTGGTAAAACAGCTGCCCAAGCAAGCCATGTTAGGCAGTCAGCACGACCAGCCAAAGCCAGGAGCCCAAACTTCTTAAATACTTAATGGAGAGAGGCAGTCACCTCCAGAGGCACAGTTCAGGGAAGCCCTGGACCATAGCTTCATGAACCTTTTCAGCCAGCACAGGCTAGCACTGCAGTCAAGAGTTCGCTGTGTTTGTGTGGTTGCACTGTGAAATGGCTTTAACCAGCTAAAAACCCGGCTAGTTTGGACACAGACCAGTGCCCTCTGCAGCTGTGTGACCCCCTGAACCAGCACTAGGGAGGGATGACAAAGGTGCTGGAGAAAGTTAATAAGGGAGAGAAGGCAAGAGAAGTGGCAGGACTGCCTCTCTCTGTGGTACGGCTAGTCTGTGCTGGCTGGAAGAGGTCAGGAAACTGCTTAGACTAAAGCAATTCCCGAGCGAAGCCAGTCTCCTAACTGGGAACTAACCCAGAAGGTGTGAGTGCTTTCTGCACTGCTGCACTTGGTTCTGCAAGGGTCAAACAGCTTTACAATTTGGTTGCTTTGCTTTCTCTCACCAAGCCAAAGCAAGACACACAGATCTGAATGGGGAAGGGACAACGCAGAATTGCTCCCTGCACTGTTTGCTAAGCAGTCTGTTGACTGTGGTTGAAATCCTCCACAGACACTGTTCCCCATGGAGCAGTGCCGCTCTCTCACAGTCCATCTTACTCAAATTTCATTATCAGACAGGGGCCCAACACTGTTTCCAGTTATGTCAGTGTAACCTCCTAGAAGTCTGTGTGGCTGAACAGAATTTGAATCCCAGCACCTTTAGTCTCAGTATTAAACCTACCCTCTTCCTGCTGTCTACTCTTCCTTGGTTTCATCCCTTTCTACAACTTGGGCAAAAATTATATTACCCAAGGTGTTGATTAATCTTTCTGACAATCCTGGTATTTACTTGGCATGAATTAGCAGAGCTTCTGTTAGTCGTTAGTCTGTGTGTCCTCCCAATAGCCCTTCAGAGACAGGAAAGCACTTGAAATGCTTTTTGCAGATATGGAAGCTGAGACATAAATGTACAATAGTCCAGATCCATGAAGGTATTGAGGTTCCTAACTTCTATGCATGCGTTGACATGAGTAAGGCATTAGCCCAAATGCATGTGGCTAAGAGCACAAAAAAAGGCAGAGGACACTGACTCCAGCTCTTTTGAACTCAGCTCTCTTGTCATCTGTCCTCTAAGGTTGCTTTTATGTTTTTTCCTCCTTGTGCATTAAAAGGAAGGTGGGAATGTTCTGGAGCTCAGTGTGTTCATCTTCTACATTCAAGCAGGTTTTATGCTTGGATCTTGCTGAACTAGAATCAGGACGTCTCTGGGCCCCATGCTCTAGCAATAAAATTATAGAACAAGCTTTTCCAACCGATTTTTTGGTGCTATTTTCCCTTCTTTTTAACTTGTTCCAGTTGTACATACTGTCCTGGCCACATTCCTAGAGTAAGCATTGACAACTGTTTTATAGCTGAGATCGTCCGACATGGATGAGCCAAGATACACATACACACACACGCACAGGCACACACAAAGGAGACAACAGAAGGCACTAAAAATAACTCAGCTAATTGAACAGCCGTCGGAGAGGGCTCAAGATCCAGCAGTCATTCCGAAGCCATTTCCTGGAGAGAGACGCACACTGCTGTGCACCAAGGGAGGAGGGTGCTCTCCAAAGGCTGTGGGGAGGGAGGATTTAAGCACGTTTCCCCTTGTGCATGCAGCTGGTGGTAGGGAAATACTGCCTTTTACAACCCCTGAGTCACATGTAGTGGGGAGCTCACCCCTCCTGAACAGGGTGCGGTGCTTGGGAAGGGTTACACCACATCAGCTGGGGATTTGACAGCTCTGGGAAGGGTCCTTCTGCCTATTAGTTGGCTGAGGCAAGAGCAATCCCAGAAGTGCCACTTTTGGCAGAGACCAGGGATCCAGGGGAAGCTGCACAGCTGGCGTAGCGGAGCTTGCAGACAGCATTCTGCATCTAGAGGTTTCTGGCTGGGACTGCTTCCTCATGGCTGGGCTGCACGCACTCCCCAGCCCAGCCCCTATCAGCGCAGCTGGGATGTGATCCCTGGAATGAAGGGGTAGCTTCTCAGGGGTTCATATGCTCCTTGGCAGAAAGGTCTTACATTTTCAGAGGAAATTTGAGCAGCATAGAAAATCAGGGTTTGACTTTCTCTGCTTTGACACAAACACGCCTTTCCTCTGATGCTCACACTGGTTTATTCACTCTCTCCCCACCAACAACGTTGCTGTACAGCTGTTTGTTCCCAAATACTAACAGTCCTAGGAGAGCTGCGTTTGCAGCACCTCTTTTCCCTGTAATTTTTTACTAGGAAACAGTCTTCCCACCTTCTTCATTAAATAATTAAATGGACTTGATGCAGCTTCTTCTCCAGCTGCACGTGGTTAACTTGCATCCCAAAAGCAAACATCGTGCCTAATGTACTTTGACAGGGACATCGTGGTATAAAAGTGGGTCAGCCCAGTGCTGACACCCTGAAGCTTCCTTCACTTTAAAGCACTTGTGCTTTAAGCTTCTACTGAATTGCAGACTTAAAATTGTGGGTCTGGCATGGAGCCACCAAGCATGAAGCACCTTCCTCTTCTATGAGGTTTACAGATGCCATGGCTGGATGTTTGGGATGGAGAAAGGGCAAATTCTATCTCTTTGGGCTCTGTTAGTGAGATACAGTCGGCTCAGGGGAATAGCCATTGTCTGGGCATTTCTCTCCTTTCATCTCAGTGTAGCATTAATATATCCTGTGTTATCCTTAAACACAAAGCTGCACACGACTCACTGAGTCTGCTCCCAGCACCAACTGAACAATGCAGTCCTTTCGGTTTGATCCATTCACAGCCTTGCCGGTGTCCTAGTGTCACAAATTTGAATGCCAAGCTTCAGAGTGTATTCCAAAGGTGCAGCAACAAGGTTATACATCCAAGCCAGAGTCGTGAGCTGTCAGAGCTCCTCAGGACCTTGTCTGTCCTCACTACAAAATCCTGTGCTGTTCAAAAAGAAGAACAAGGCATCGGGAGTGCGGGACCTTTGTGAGCTCTCCTCTTCCTCTGACAAAGTGATCTTTAACCTCACCCTTCTACATATTTGTTGTACATCTCTGATCTGAAATGAGCCAAAAGGCACCCTTGCAACAGTACATACCCTTTCACTAAGTGGTACCTCCTCTGCAAGCCTGTGGAAATCCCATTTCCTAGAGTTCACGATGCATCAGGACCGATCATTGTGAGTACACAGACTCACAGCTCATCCAATTCAATATTGTTGCAAAAGGCAACAATAACTCCCAGCCCTTTGCTGCTCTCTGGGCTACGCAATGTGCAGGGACTGGAACCTGAAAGACACTCCCTTCATGGACCCCACCTTTGCGCAGTGTCAAGTAAACCAAACAGAGAAGACCACTAATCAGTGCCTTGGGAAAGAGGTTGCCATCAGCACACAAAAAGACAAGAGGAAGCGGCATCTTACCATGTGATAGTTAATCATTTCCTGCAGACTGTCTCCAAATTTATCGAGGCACTCCTGCAAAAAAAGGTAAAGAGAACTGGCAGTGAATAGAAGCAGCTGCCCTTCATTCCCAGGGGTTCAATGGCTGAGAGAGACTCTCATTGAAGCCACTGAAGAGCCACTCTGCCATTTGGCAAGAAGGCGTTTCAAAAATGTCTGACATTGAAGCCACAGGCTCCCTGTCCTTTCCAGTTTAGTGCTGAAATCAACACGTCGTTTGTCGCTTGTGTAGGCTGGTTACTCGCGTTTCCTAAATAACTGATGCTTACTGACCCAGATTCCAACAACCTTGCCAGCACCGTGGCTTCTGGAGAAGTCCAGTTCTCCCTGCAAACAATGAATCTCACTCTGACCTTTCAGCATTGCATTATCAGACGGTCTCTATATTCCTCCAAAAATAAAATCTCATACTAAATGGCTACTTAAACAGTATAAGGGTGTTGGATGTACGGTCCATTTACAGCATCAGGAAGCTTGACACTCCCCAGCCCTCATTGTGTCCCATGCTCCATCCCTCAGGATGACTTACCGAAATCATTTCATCCTTCTTGCACTGCTGCGACAAGTCCCGGACTCCGCTGACAAAGTGCTTGTTCGTGGTGATGTAGACTTTGCCTGCTTCAATCATCCCACTGCATAGCTTTACCAGCTGCACAAGGAGAGAGGTGTGAGCGGACAGGCAGCTGATCACATCAAACTGAACTGCAGCCAGGCTGGTTTTAATCTGCACAACACTACAGCCCAAGACTTTAGAACAGGATGCCATTCACATTCCTGGTGTGGCTACACTAGCAACCCTTACTGCACGTAGCAGAAACAGGGATGCAAATCGCACTTCTAAGGGTACGTCATGCTGTCAACATTTCACTTGTCACTTAAGAATAGCAGTTCCAGGCTACCCCCTGAGGACAGATGAATCAGAGTAGCCCATTTTTTCCAGTGGGTTTCTACTGTTCAGTCTGTCCTGAGGCATCAGGACTGCAATAAAAGGAACCTGATCACACAGATTGACTGGGGAGAGGCAAGACTCCTTGGTGCTGGGTAGAAGTGATAAGCTGTCTAGAATCTCCCTGCTGGCAGTATGCTGCTCTTTGGGATTGTCGAGCCCAGTTGGCTGTTCTGTATACTTGTGGAGACTTCTCTTGCAAGGTAACCACCTTGAAATGAAGGGGAGCCAGCATTCAGCAGCATGATGTTTTTGCATCATGTTTTCCTTAAACCAACTGACGAGGACTGCTTGAGCCGTGTCTGCTGTGAGCAGCCAGTGAAAACCTATGTTCCCTCACACGCAGGTTAAATCGCCAAGATTGTAGATAACTATAAATCAATTCCCACAATTCTGCAGCCCAAGGAAACTTTGCTGGTGCACTATGAGGGCTTACAGCATACATCTCTGTACTGCCTGTGACCTGGTACAGTCTTTCTAATGGACTTGGAAGGAGTTTTGTTTGGAGAAACATTAACAACTTTAAGCAAGCTACACATGCTCCGATTCTCATCACCAGCCTTGCTATAGTGAAGCTACCAGTGAAGTTAGCTGGAACTTGCAGTAAAATGGGTTGGCTTCCTCACTTTGGAATTAGTTTGCTGCAGCACAGGTATACATCTCCAGACAGCCTTTATTAACTTTTGATAATTTAACAGCTGCAGGGAACATTCCCAGACTTCATAGCTACAGCAAACTGCCTTAGCATGCCTGGAACCGGCTGTAAAGACTGGAGCATTAGCTTAGCCAGAATTCCTGGCCATTAGCCTATCTCCTTGCATCCAAAGCTCCTTGTAAAAGGTTATGGCAAACAGCTTAAGATAAATCCATAAACCAAAGGCCCAAGAGATTTGCAACAGTAATGGCTGGCCACTGAGCACAATTTTTAAATTTTTTGGTTGGTTGGTTTTTGGTTTTTTTTAAATCATCACTGTTCTAGGCTTTTTAACTAGGTGAAAAACTTTAGCTGCTGATAACGAACAACACTTAGAACTGAAGTTTTCCATTCTCAAAATCCAGGAGCCTTTTAGGGATATTAATCTTACTAATGAAAAATGGCTTTAGAAATCTATGCCTGTCAACCAGCCTCACCTACAGGCTGGGAACGAGTAGCTCTCAAGTCTGGCTTGATGCCAAAGCCCCACTGAAGCATGGTGTGCTGGTTTGGGGCTTGGTGCTTGTTCTATTTATGCAGCCACAAGGCTTTGGGGTCTAATCTATACGCATGCATTGCAGAACAAGCTTGCTTGCCTCTGTCTGCAGTTCTGTAAAAATATATCTGAGTATATCTGAATGTACAAATATATATAGTCACACGTGGTGTATCTGTGTATACGTAGTATATACAGTCTTCACTCTTTCACTCACATCCTCTCCTGTCCACACAATTTGACAGAACAGCATCGGATGCTAGCAGACTTGTACTATCCCATCCAAGCCCAGAGAAGAAAAGCAAACAGATGCAGTTCCTGTCACATCTGGAGCCCAGACGTACACTAAGGGTTTGGACAGATCCTCTGGAAAGGAAATCCAGCCTATTCTGCAACGTGGCGGTTTCTAGCATACCTCTGTGCAAACACTTGTGGCCAAGGCTGTGTTACTGGTAGCTGAGGGCCATTCAGCACAAGCAAACTCCCAAGGGGAGCAAGGATGGCTTTACAGATGGAGCACAGGACAGAACGAAGGAAATCTCTTTGAAACAGCCCAAATCTCTGGTATTCCCTTGGATGAATCATTTACATTGCCTTTTACCTCCATTTTAAACAGGTGTTAAAAGGCTAATCATTTATAAACTAAGTGCTCAGGGGCACAGTAAAAGACAGAGAAACAGAGTCAGTCCTTGCCAGCTTGCCGCTCTTAAAGAACTAGTCATGCCAGCTATTTGGGCACCGCTGAAGAACATTTACACCAAGCCCTAGAAAGGCTGCCTTGGGCATCCACCCAGCTGGTACACAGGAGAGGAGCTGGGCCATCCAAGGCTGATTTATTAGGAATGGGGATGATTGAATCTTGTCCAAAGTTACCCTCAGAGAAACTAATTTGAACTTCAGTGGTTCTTCGGATGCAAACTCCAGCCTCACTTGCCCTGGACCCAGACCTTATAAGCCCGCTGTTGACAGTGACTGAGCCGGCACTTTGCATGACTGGTCATCTCCGCAGCAGACAGGGGAAATGATGCATGCAAACAGAATGTCCACCCACTTTGCACTACCAGAATATCACCCATAACTGCTGTCGGGGAAGACCAAAATTGCACGAGACTATTGTTTTAATGCAGTCCTCACCCAAAGGAGCTCAAATCAATTTGCAACAAAGCAGTGAACAATAAAAAGCTGAGAGCCCTGAACAGCTCTTGTACTTCCAGCCCACCCTGCCCGCTCCAGGATTGTTCCTGGCATACCAAATTGTCTAACTACAGGGGGCACTGACAGCAATAGTGCTAGAATCAGAGCAAGTTTTGCCCCATGCTTTGTGTTTAGTGCCTTCCCCTCTTCCATAGAGGAAAACAGATAACCTAAATCCCTTTGCAGCTTTCACCAGTGAGACTAGTTAGCTTGTGCAGATAACCATTTCAAGCAGCTTGAGTAGTAAATAGGTTTTATAGGACACAGTTTTGCCTAGGGCTTGTGACTTCAACAAAGCCCATTTCTCCATCAGACGCAGGAGTTTTATCCCTTGCTAGCTTTGGGAAATCTCGCAGATAAAAAGCCAAAGGCTCTTCTGGCTCCTCTTCTTCATTTCTCCCTGTTCTCATTTAGAAACAACTTGGCTGATGTCTCAGACATCAGGAGGAGTGGGGGTGGAAAAGCCGCCTTCCATCATAAAGCCTTTGACTTAGATCCAAGCTACCAACTGGATGTAAAGAATCACCAGCATAAATGCAAAATGTCCAAAGTGGTACCTGAGAGGATATTTCAAGTGTCAGATTAGAGCTGTGGCACATCATCTGGCTGAACATCAGACAGCAACCACCATCATCAGTCTGAATCCTGCCCCTTGTTCACCTGCAAGTGTCTCCTTACATCCCCGAGCTGACACAGTGGTGCCTGTGCTGTGTGGACATGGAACGGCTCCCACTCCACACAGGTTAATATCACAAGCAAGGTGGTGGAGAGGGGAAACAGAGAGCACTGAAATAACTTGCCACAACAGGAGAAGCAGTGTCAGTCCCCTGAGATCCAGGAGCAGAACAAGAAGGCCATCATTCAGCTCTAGGAGCCCAAGCCTGGACCTCTTGTCCTAACTCCACAAAGTTACAGTGGCAGTCACAAAGGAGCCTTGACAAGTACCTGTCAGCAGAGGGAGACATGGTCCTGTTGACAAGCCCAGTGTATTATACATTAGTTTCCTGACAGCCTGAGATGAGCTCACTTTAATTAGAGGAGACTGGTGGGGCTATATTCCTAAGCAGGAACCCATCAGTCCCTCTTCAAACCAATGCACTAAGCTGCGCCATCTTACCTTGTCAAGCTTCGCCTCTATCTCCACCACATCTGTTTCCACTTCATCAATGGTTGCCCTGCAACGACAACAGCAAAAAGAAATAATTAATTGATTGCTTATGATGATTGGGAAAGAAGCCAGAAGGTCCCAGATGAGTAAAGATCAGAGGGACTACGGTATGTGTGCTGGTGGTGGACAGGAGGAGGGATTCACACGTCCCACTTTGGAGCTTCCTGCTGCTACGTAAGCTTGGGACTGACTTACTCAGGAGAAGGATCACACTCATCAGGAATGAATTCCACAGGGCTGGGAAAAGAGATGGAGATTATGCTATTTTCTGTCAGTGTCATGGAGAAATTGAGGTGTGCTGTGGTAGTCAAACACAGTAAACTCATTTAGTGGCCTTGTTGTGATTCTGCAGGCAATGTGGTTAATTGGTAGTAATGCTAAGTGACACAGAAATAACCATTGTTACACCTTAGCCATCCATTCACATCAGGCACAACCTGTCTGCTTCAGTACCACCAAAACCCGTTTTCTAGGCTATAACTGTTCCTGAAGTGCAGCCACATGGCGAATTATGTCCTTTGAATCTTAGGAACCATCACTCAAGCAGAAACACATCTTGGTCCTTTTGTCGCTGAACACACATGGGGCTTTGCTTGCATATGGATAAATCTGCTCCGTGATTATCGGATCTGTTTTCTTTCCACGTCACTGGACAGATGTGACAGTAAGAGGCTAGTAGAATCCAGCTGCAAAGGTCACCAGGCCTCCCTCACAAAGTGAAATATTAACATGACATCAGCCATTTGCAAGAGGCATTCCCAGACTGAGGCACGTGGTATGAAACGACTTTTCTGAGGCCAGAGTCCATTAGTAAGCACTGTAAACCTGACAGCGTTCCCTTGCAGAGCTGCTCACTGCTATATGTCTATACTTGGACAGTTGTTTCTTTAACCACACACCTGGAAATGTGGTAAGCCTCACGCCACCTTTATGCACCAAGGATATGCAATCCAAATTTCACTGCAAGGAGCTTCTTAAGTTTGTGGGCTTGTAATTTAAAAGGTTGGTTCCTGAAATATTACACTCAGGCTTTAAAAAATCCAGCACTGAACATGTGCCATCTGAAAGAACAGTAGGGGAGAGATGTGACTTAAAGCCACATGAATCAATACTGCTATCTCAGCAAAAGGATAGGACACCCACAAACCAAAGGGAACAGCACAAGTCCTGAAGAAACCATTAGAGTATGTAGTAACTCTGTGCCTCTGAGGCTCTTGGTGTCTTCAGTGAACTAGTGGATGATGAAGATAGTGACTGTCTTCACTAAGGGACATGCTTCTAAGAGAAGGAGGGTTAAATTTAAGAAGAAAGCCCAAAAGGTCACAAAGATGGGGTCTAAATCTAAATTTCTGCCAAGCTGAGGAAGGGTTCAGACTAACAGCATGCTACTTGTATGTGCCTTACAAAGATTACACATAACCAAAGTAGCACAACACACTCAGTAACATCTATTCTAAGCATTCTTCAATGGGAAATATGTATAATACCTTACACAGGTGTGTGTAGTCCCCATCTGTAAGCTATGAGACAGCCAACATTTGCTATAGTCCTGTGTAATCCGGGTGGAGCAAAGAGGAGAGAGTCTGTCCTCACACAGTACTGGAGTAAAACAGAAGACCAGATGTTGTCAGGTCTGTCCCTAGCATCCAGGAGATCTTCAGCAGCTTCATACAAACACTGCAGGAGAGAGCAGCTTTTCTACTCATGCACACCCTCCAAAGCCTCATGTGGACTGTGAGCAGCCAGCTGATTGGGACATCCTGTGTGGCACGCTCTTTGATTAATGACAACAAAGGCCACATGATGTCATATGACCGTGGGAACTCCCCTCCCCGCACGCCCTGCCTGGCCTTTCCACATATCTGTACTTCAAGAAGGTGGAGCAGAGCAAAGCCCCTTCTAACACCACTGAAGCCCAAGAAGTTGGAGTTGGTAGGAGAGCTAGGAGACATTAACACACCACCCTGCAAACCCGAAGGCTGGAAAAAGTTGGTAGGAGAGCTAGGAGACATTAACAGACCACCCTGCAAACCGGAAGGCTGGAAAGGCTAAATAATACATTGGGCGTCACGTGAAGAATCAATGACGGAGAGTGACAGATTAGCACTCTTCCCCAGCAGACCTCAATCTTGTCTGTTAACTTTGCTGGAGGCAATGGAAATCAACTACGTTCTTCCTGTTGAGTCGCCTGATCCTTGCCCTTGACAATGTTCAATAAAGCAGCTTTTACATCTCAGTTCAGATTAAGATTTGCACTGAGAATTAGGACTTCTCTCCCTAGTGTCTTTTTAAAGAGAATTCCCCCTAAGGAGTTGATTTTCCAAGTCCTAGGCAGTTTGGAAATCTCCAGTCCCTTTTGGCTGCCTTTTCCCAGTAGCATGTGAGGAAACACTTAGAAGTAATGGAGTTGCTTTGGAAAAGGAGCACCCAGGAGCACAGGGATTATCTCTTCTCAGGACTGCACACCACTACACACAGCAGTGCCCTATGCATCCTGGGGCCTCTGTTAAAACATCAGTATAAAAAGGTTAATCCTTTCTTTGCTCATGACTTGCTGGCTTGTGAGAGGAAGGTCCTTTCTGCTGCCTTGAGACTTCAGATGTTTTTACTGACATCCACACAGATACTCGCAGACCAGGAGCACTGGATGCCTCGTCCATTTGACATATCCTCCTAGTAGCGGCACTAAACCCTCAGAAAACATTTGCAAGCAATTCTTAATTGCCTGGAGGTGCTCACGGGGAGTTCCCAGTCACACAACCTAATGCATTGCTGGTTGTGGTCACCTGTTACCTGTGTGCTACAAGAGGTCTGAATCACTTGGTTCCTCATGTGCCGAGGGCTGCCGCCTCAGCCCGGGGCAAAGCCGGCTCAGCGCAGAAGCCTCCATGCACCGGCCCCATTCCCACCTTGCAGATGCTGTCCAGTACTGCTGGTTGGGGACGCAGTTCTAAACAGCCCATCACTGCTTCAAGGGAGTTAAAGAAAGCCCTAAATCTGAGTGGCCTCAAAGATTGTGGGTCTAATAACTGTCTTGTTGAATCTAAATTGGCTGCATATTCAAGAACTGTGATGTAACAGCTGTAGCTCTCCTTCAGAGACTACTGTCCTCCCCTTCCACTGCTCTCTTGTTCCCAGATGGTATTACTTACAAGCAGAGGAGTGTCTCCTCCATCAATGTCCCTTTCCATTAAAAACTCCTTCTAGCCTGTGGTTTGACCATGCTGCTCCCAGCCAGGGAGGGCAGAAGGGGGATGCTGGCCATTTACACGCCACTTGTGACTCCACTGCTGCCCTTTCCTCATCTGGTTTCTTTTAACAAGTGAGTCTGAAGGAGAAAAAGGAGTAGATCTGCTGTTCTTAAATGAGCTGCGATGTTCTTCGGCTCTGTGAGCAGCGAGAAGCACCAAAACCCTGCCAATGCTGTGTGAGGAAAGGATGTGCCTCTACTGCCTTCATCCAAGAGCTCTTGATGTCATCTCAGCAAACAATACTCCCTACATCTTAACATAAGCCGAACATCAAATCCAGAGGAAACAGGCTAGGTTATTAATCATCATTATATATCGTAGAAGACAGCCTGGAATCTGCTTTCATTCAAAAATACCGGATGCAAGAAAATACAACTACTGCCTACAATTGGCTCCTTTACTTCCTGCCATGCAAGGAGAAATATGTACTTAAAAAAAGTTTGCTACCTGCTGAGCACTTTAAATGAAGCATATTTGTTACACCTTCCCTCGCCCCACACATCACTCCTCTCTTCCTAGGCCCTTGATAACTAAACAGCCCTTTCCCTGCCACGACACCCAATGTAAAAGATGGTGAGGCCAGAACTTCAGACACAGATTTCACAGACACCCTCCATCTAGAGCCATCCTGAGCAAGCAAACAGGAGGGCAGCCGCGCACTCGGCTTCTGAATGGAGCAAGCCCTGGGCTCTCTGAAGTTGCAGTAACATAGCATGGCTGCTCAGGAGTGCACTTGATCCCTGGCCTTCTCCTGTATCTCTAAGGAAGCTGGTAAGAAACCAGGACAGAGCAGGCAAGAAAGCAAGAAACTATGCATGTTCAAAATGGCCTTTTTCATCAGTAGTTCCTCAAAACTGCAGATAGCTAGAGACTAAATCTGCACCTACCATGGTGGGAGCAAGTCTTTGTGTGTAGGTCATATTTGCATAGGAATTCATTGAAACAACTCCCCAGCAAGGAATACTTTTGTGCAGAGTCCCAAGGCCTGACTTTGCTGCAGTTGCAGGGCTCTCAGTTTCCCTTACACAAAGGGAGGGAACCGGTTGCTGCGGGTTTACAAGCAAGTATAATTTTCTGTGATAAAAGTAGAAACACCAAGTATAGTGCATCTATTTTTTTTTTGCACTTTTGTTTTTCAAGAACAAGCTCTGTCTTTGGATGACACTGTAATGCCAGCATTTGCTTTCTACAAGTACCTCTCTATCCCACCACAGGTACTCGGAAACAAAGGAAAAGCAAGAAGGACGTTACAAAACGTTACTAACACAGATCCATGTCCAGCAGCATTGCCACCACCGTCTTTCCAAGCTCTGGCCTGACTCAGGGACTCCTATATTGTGAAGCTGCAATGCTACTGATAGATGGTGGCTCAGGTCCTACTATCCACGCACCTACTAGAGAAAGATCCATTGCACTTCCTTTTCTCCCGTCTGCTCACTCAAGCCATATAACCAAAAGGGACGTTGCAAACTCTACAGAAGGGTCAGACAACAGATTGATGCCATTAGAGAATGAGGGCCTCTGCTTCAGTGCGACAGAAATGTCATACTCTGTTCCCTTACTGTGCTGCAGTGCTCACCTGACCTGGCATCCCTCTCTTCTTGTTCCCGATTGTTCTGCGTACAACTGGTACCCATGCCACTGGGCAGCAAGGGACTTGCCCAGAGAAAAATTAAAGAAACAGATCTCACTGTGAAGCCCCTTTGCTCAGAAAAGGTTATTTTAGTAGGTGTATTTAATAGTGGTCTTTTCATTGGCTTGCAAATTACATTTGATTGGTTATTAGTGTTTAGGA